TTGGATGGGGGGTCGATTCATGGTTTTAGCGTTGTTTGATGTGATTTGAGGCCTCGAGCAAGTCCGTAATGTGTTATGGGGCTGGTTGGTATGATTGGTTGGGGTCCCGGGGGCCTCGGGTGGATTCCGGATGGTTAACGGATCAATTTTGGAAGTTGGAAGAGGAAGTGCAGCAGCTGTCTTCTGGTGTAACCGCACCTGCGAGGCTTGGGCCGCAGGTGCGGAGCCGCAGAAGCGGCCATTGGGTCGCAGAAGCGGAAATGGGCAGGCCAGGCTGAGGCAGCAGATGCGGTCGAATTGTCGCAGATGCGTGACCGCACCTGCGGAAGGAGAAGCGCAGATGCGGAGGCTGAGGCTAGGAGGAGGACCGCAGAAGCGGATGGTAGCTCGCACCTGCGGAACCGCAGAAGCGGTCCGGTGACCGCAAGTGCGAAAATGCTGGAGGCAGTGAGGTTCTTTTAAATCGGGGGTTGGGTTCATTTCAACCCCATTTTCTTCCATTGGAGCCGATTTGGAGCAACTTTGAGGTGCCATTTTCACCACCAAGCATGAGGTAAGTAATTTATGCTAGTTTTAAGTTAAATACATGATTATATACGGATTTGGACATGAAAATTTGTAGAAAACTTGGGATTTGAGGGAAGACCTAGAAAATTAGTATTCTTGGAATTTGACCATGATTTTGGGTATGGAATTAAGGGAAAATCATATATTTGAGTTCGTGAGTTCATGGGTAAACTTTATCTTCGAGAAATTTCGGAATCCGGGCACATGGACCCGAGGGCGTTTTTGTCAACTTTTCGAACGGGGTTAGGAATTGTTATAAATTGGATTAATATGAGAAGTTTATCGTATATTAATGGATTTGCATAATCATTGGCTAGTGTTGGAGCGTTGTGCATCAATTTAAGTCTTCGGAAGGGCGTGGAATGCCAGTTATGGATCTTCGGAGCGAGGCGAGTCTCCTTTCTAACCTTGTAAGAGGAAATTCTCCCCATAGGTAAAATAATTGGTTATGTGCTCCTAATTGTGGGGGCTACGTACGCACGAGGTGATGAAAGTCCGTGCGTAGCTACTATTATGCTATTGTCCGGTTAGTTTAGGACCCAAAAGCATGCTATACTTGGATTATTTGTGAACTTATTGACAACTTGAATTGCTTAAATCGCATCGAATTACTAAATGAATTTCTGAACAGATAAAACTTCATCTTTCTTAAATGGTTTAAAGAGGATTTTCTTTCTTTGGATAATTGCTCCGTGTGGACTTCTTGATTGACTGTCTGTGTGTGTTTATTTTTGGAAGGGGCCGAACGCCTCGGCAGATTAAATAGATGCATCTATGGTTGGCGCCGTTCAACCCTCGGCAGTGCACATTTTATTTTCTGTTGGATCGGGCCGTACGCCTCGACATGATTTGCGCATGCTTGTATTGCTGCCTTGAACTTATTAAAGTTGTTATTGCCTCTTCTTGGCTTGAGAATATTTGGATAAATAAGGAATAGAAATTTTGAAAATTTCCTATAAAAGAAATAATTGTTTACTTGTTTCCTTCTATTGGATTAAAATCATGTTTATAGAAATCCACGATTTAATGTATTATTGACATCACATTATTAGACCCTTAGTAAGTGTCGAAGTCGACCTCTCGTCTCTACTTCTTCGAGATTAGACGGGATACTCATTGGGTACACGTTGTTTTCGTACTCATACTACACTTCTGTGCATTTTTGTTGCACAGGCACATGCATCTCTAGTGGCGTACTGGGCGTAGCAGCATGGATAATACTGGGACTAGGTGAGTTGCATTATTCGAGGCGGCCCGCAGCTAGTATAGTCCCTTCCAGTATATTGTATTTACTTTCTGTCCATTGTATTTCGGACGGATGTTATATTTTATTTCCTTCTTAGTAAATGCTCATGCACTTGTGACACCGGGTTCTGGGATGGTTTTGAAATATTTTGTATTAATTGCTTATTATTTAATTTGAATTGAAGCGGTTATTCTTTTTATTTATAAAAATTGAAGGAAAATCTTAGTTTTCAAGATTGTTAAAAATGAGAACTTCATTAAGTGTTTTCGGTTGGCTTGCCTGACAGCGGTGTCCGGCGCCACCACGACCCTTAATGGATTTTGGGTCGTGACACTAAAAGGCTCTATATTTTACTACGCTATAAGGCTCTATATTTTACTACGCTAAAAAACTCTATATTTTACTACGCTAAAAGGCCACAATTCCTTAAGCAAATAAATAATCTAAACTAAATAAAAACAACAAACATATGAACATAACATTCACGAAATTACATATAAAATGGTAAAAGATATTTGTGACAATTTCATTAACAATAAAAATTATTTATCAAATTTTATCTATTTTTTGTCCCAAGGCTAATAATTCAATCCGGGTAAAAATAACATACAAATTTAAACGCAAACATAACAAATCAACGTGGAAACACATTCAACAAAAGAAATATGCATATGCTCTACGAGTTTCGACATAAACAAAATTGAAATACCTCGATTTAAGTTTTTTGAAATAGATCCAAATCGAATTTTTGACCCCGAAAGAAGGAATCCAAGGCTTGGGATGTATGCGGGACCTACGCTCTTTACTTTTTGTGTGACGGGTGGGGCCCAATAATTTTTTTAATTCGCGGGGGAGGGGGGGGGGACCAACAGTGGTGGTTCGGTTTTTTTAAAAATGAAGTGGTCTGTCGTGGGGAAGAAGAAAAAGGGGGACCCTATATTTTATTATAGGGAAACGCAGTATAATACTGCGTTTCCCTATAAAATAAATTAATTTTTAAATTAAACGCAGTATTATACTTCGTTTAACTTTAACGGCTTCCGTTAAAGTAAAACGCAATATAATACTGCGTTTTATGTAGAAATGTAACTTTTTTTAACTGTTAAAACGTATTTTATGTCAAAAAAATGTCATTTCAGTTTCGGACTCTTTAACAATAACTAAGGGGTCGTTTGGTATGAGGTATAAGAAGGTATAAGGGTGGTATAAAAATTTAATACCACCTTAATACTCTGTTTGGTTAGCAAACCAGGTATAAGTTATCCTGGTGTTAATTTTAAAACTGGGATAACTTATACCTTATAGAAGGTGGGGTAATTAGCACCGGTATAACTTATACCTTCTTTTTAGAAATTATGCAATTGTCATTCTTAATACAACATACCAAACAATGAATAAACAACAATCCCAGCATAACTAATCCCATCATAACTTATCCCAATATAACTTATACCGGTATAACTTATACCGATATAAATCATATTCCAACCAAACGAACCCTAAGAGAGCAAAATCAAAGAATACTATTCAATGAGGTTGGTAGGAGTTGCTAAAACTAACACCAAAATGACTTCTTTTCCATTTTCTTGTTTGACGAGAACACCCAATGGCTGCAAATTATATTTAGAAGCTCTTATCACGTTCATAGATTCTCCTTGAAAGAATAAAAGAATAATAAAAAAGGTAGGTGGCATGCTCAAAGTAACATTCATAATTAACATTAAATAAATACGGTGTCCCCGAAATTTCGCACTTCAACTCTTCACTGCCGAATCTTTATTTATTTCCGAAACAAGAATACATAAATGCTAATCTTATTACTCTCTCATAATTGGTACAACAATAATAACAACAAACCCAATTTAATCCCATAAATAGAGTCTGAGAAGGATAATGTGTACGCAGATCTATTTTCGATAGACCCTCGACTCAAACAACAATAGAGATAAGATAAAGCAGCCAAGTAGTAAACAAAATTGACAACAATACATTATGGTGACGGGCGTGAATGACACAACAACAACAACAAACACAACATGTAATAATAAAGCACCGTAACTAAGATAATACAAAAATAGTCTTCGTACTATTGGTAGGCCTAGGAGGAACACACTACTAACTGTCAACCTACAACCCTAATCCTAAACCTCCACACCTTTCTATCATGGGTCATATCTTCCGTAATCCGTCATAATGGGTATAACACTCTTTTCTTATTAATTTATTTAAAACTATTTTTTATATTCGAAAAATAATTAAATTTTAAAATTTCTCATGTTGTCTTTAATATATATTTTTATAATGTTATAAATATTTAAATAATTTATTATGATTAAGCGATTTATTAAGATAAAGATATATACTAGTAATAACTAGTAATTAATTATAGTAAATGAAAAACTTATCTATAAATATACGACACGCATATTGATTTGATATAAATTTTTATCGGATAAAACCATGTCATAAAAATGAAATGTTGAAAGTAATAAAAAAACTTCCTCCGTTTATTTTAGTAGTCTATTTTTTGACTTTACATTGCCTTTAAGAAAAAAGTAAATAAAGTATACATTTTATAATATATTTTTAATATAATGGATAAATAAGTGAATGTAGGTAGTAAAATTACTTGCAGTGTGTAACACTCCTTCCGTTCCAATTTATGTGAACCTGTTTGATTGGGCATGAAGTTTAATAAAAAATGAATGACTTTTGAAATTTGTAGTCTTAAATAAGTCAAAAAGGGACCAGATTATTTGTGATTATAAAAATTTGTTATTAAGAGGAGAATTATAAGATTAAGCTAAATTGTTTCCAAATTTAAAAATGAATCATTTTTAGAACGGACCATAAAGGCATAAACGGGAACTGACGGAGTAACATTTAAGGAAACAATTAGTAGTAAACTTTCTAGGGTTGAATTTGATTACAGATTTACTTGCCAAAAATAAATTTGATTAGAGATTTAAGTGATATAGCTGCCAAAGAATTTGACAGTAGGTGGAGATAGGGTCAAGAAAAACCTAAGGAAAAGAAAAACAGAAGAAAGAGAGAATCAAAGAAATTGTTCCTTCATTTTCTCTACCAAATTAATTCAACTTGTTACAGTCAAAAGAGATTCGTAACGTATGGTATAGTAACGTGGATTTAACACAAAAATACAAAAAGGTGCGTTTGTTTTCCTTTGCCAGCTCAGCTACTCCACTTTTATTTGCAGTTTGTCTCTTACAGTCAAATTTACTCATTATTAATTAAACAAAAAAGATCCAATTTGTATATCTCTAACTATCGCTTTTTATATTCAAAAGTTAAGATTTTCAGAAAGGAAAAGGCCTTTTTTTTCTGCTACTAAATTTTTTTTTAGAGAGAGAAAATGGGTTCTATTGGGAATTTGGCTAGGAGAGCAGTGCTGACCAATACACCAGTTATGGTTCAGGTAATTTGTATACCTTAGATTAGATATGTTGTTTATTGTTTGGTTTAGGTTTCTGTGCATTAATGGGATGATAAAGATTGGATTTTTTTCATAATTGATATGCTGTTTTTTGTTGTTGTGTGTTTTGAAATTTTGTAGATACAAGAATTGGTTCGAGGTGTTGAAGGTTGTATTTCTCTAGCTCAGGTTTGTTTACTTTCTCCAATGTTTTTAGAGTACCTTGTTTTCTGCTATTTTTATTTTATTGTTCCATTCTCAGTTGAAAGGTTCAAAAAATTGATAACTGTGATTACTCATCCTTGTTGTTCTAAGATTACAAATCATCTTTTGTGCACTTCAAAATCTTGATTAGATTAACTTAGATTAATTGACTTGTCTGACGTGTTGGAATTTTGGCCAAACTTATTCTTGAGGTTATCAATTTTATTTTCCTTCAGTTGAAATAGAATTGCTTAATATATAGAATAAGCCAGAAATGGATTTTTTTTTTTCCAATTGGACTTCCCTCCCATTTAAAGGATGTATTTCCAGATGGTTTTGAATGTGCAAATAGGAGATTATGACTGGCCATTGAGCTCAGAATGGGTAAAAGGTGTAGGTGGGTGGGTTATGGGCCAAGAGCATATGTATAAGTGGCGCTACTGGTATAAGGTCGGCATTCTTTCTTAAGCTTTTGCTGGAGGAACGGTTGATCCATAAATTTCTCTGATTTGCGAAGTAAGTTAAATTGCCTGAAATTCTGGTTTTGCAAAAGAAATTGTACTCGGGTTTCTCCCATGATCATTGGGGTTACAAAACTTCCTTTCTAGTATGTTCCATTCCCGTTTGTCCTTTTCATGTGGAGAAAAGACATATGGTGCTTTTATTCTTTTGATCTATTTTGTACTTGAGTTAACCAATAAGTATGCAGTGATAGTGTGATACAGAAGAATAATCAGCAGTGAGAGATTAGTTACCCCTTAGTTATCCTTCTATTATTTGGCTGTCTAGAAAGGACTGGTACCCTCAGGATCTCTGAGGACCAATCTATTGACAAGGAAGTGTACTGAACCGACACCAAAGAGTAAACAAAAGGAAGAACAAATTACTATCTGTCAATGGGTGGACTTTTCTGTTTTGCCTGATTATAGTATGTCCTTGTTTTCTGTCTATCCATTTTGGGATCATCTTATTTTCTTTTCTTTGCCTTTTAGGGGGTAGTGTACTGGCAACCACCTGCACAAGCACTGAATAAGGTCAAAGAAATCATCTGGGAACCTTCAGTTAGTCGCTATGGTGCCGATGAGGGCCTTCCTGAGCTCAGGGAGGCATTGACGAAAAAGGTATGGTTTATCAGTTGGATTACTCTGGTTTGCATCTTATAAGGTGGTGAGTAGTGGAACTAAAATTGGAGTGGCTTAGGGTACTTTGCCTAGTGAACCAGTAGTTATGGCTGCATATGAAATTGGGCTCATCTCATGTCTTCAAACTATGTTATTCATTCATTGAGATTTTAGTTTTTACTTAGTCCAGTCTAATACTTTCTTTGTGCCTTTCTCCAGTTGGGTCGTGAAAATAGCTTACACAAATCGTCAGTTATGGTTACTGCTGGCGCGAATCAGGTAGGGCGTTACTCTTTTAATGTTCTATCTTAAGCTGAATGCAGACAATGTCAAAGAGCCATTTGTGGTGGAATGGAAATGCTTCATTTAAGGACGAATTAATTTGTGTACATGTATTTGTTCTTTGTTGGTGACTACTTTTAAGCTAGCTGTATACCCATTGCTAAGAAATCTCTAATGGAGCCTTAAACTAAATGATTTCAGGCTTTTGTAAACGTCGTTCTCACACTGTGTGATGCTGGTGATTCAGTTGTTATGTTTGCACCATACTATTTCAATGCATACATGTCATTCCAGATGACAGGTGTTACCGATATTCTGGTGGGTCCTGGTGACGCAAAGACACTTCATCCGGATGCAGGTTCCTTCCAATAATTTACCTTAAGATTATTATGCTATATGTTGTGTTTATATATCTCTTTTCTGCTAGCTTGCATGGCCAAGTTTGAATGCCCAAGCATTTTTCTCTTTGTCCTTTGGCCACTTGGCAATTGATTGTAATCATCCATATTTATTAGGAGTTATTTTGTTTTCCCATTGCTTGAAACTTCTCACAATTTTCCTCTACTCTGAATTTAAAACTACTTCAATAGAAATCAATTTGAAAAGAGGTTGCTGCGGACATAGTGGTCTAGATTTTTAGACTGTTGTCTGGAGAGCACTCCTTCTGTCCTTTGTCCTACAATGGTCCAGTTAAGTGAGCGTGACCATTTGCTGCTACCACAAATGGTTTATATTCTTCTCGCCATCGCTTCTTGTTATTTGTTCATAATATGCCACCTCACACCACCCCACCCAAAAGAAAAAAGAAAAAAGAAAAAAGTAGTTAGTAAGCCTCATGCCCAATTGACTATCTGATTTGGTTACATACTTATAGTTTGATACTTTGATGCATACTGTTAACCAGAATATCACCACCGTTTTGCATAATGAACTTGAGAGTTTCAAACATTATCTGCCTTATTATTTCATTGTGTATCCATTAACATATTCCATGATTTCTCAATTTCAGACTGGTTGGAGAGTACTCTAAAGAACACTGTACCAACCCCAAAGCTTGTGACTGTTGTTAATCCGGGGAATCCATCAGGAACATATATCCCTGAGTCCCTTCTTAAGGTCCTTATCTCATCTTTATAGATACGAATGGATGGAATGCAGTCATCAGTTATTCAAAATTCAGTAGATATTCTTTTGTGATTTTTACTATTGAAACATTAAAAGGTTGCTTTTTTGTCATATAGAGGATATCTGATATTTGTAAAGAGGCGGGATGTTGGCTCGTAATTGATAATACTTATGAGTAAGTGATTTTTCTTGCCGTATACGAATCTTTTTGTTTCTCATATTGACTTGACAGCCTGCTATTAATGACTGCTGCCATTTCATTTTCTCATCCACGGACGAATGATGACGGTCTTAGAACTATCGATGATGAGGAAAGTAATTGTTGAATGGAGTGGTCCTAAAATACTGCTGGTTAGACCAGTAAGAAACTTTGTGAATGTAAACCAACGATACAGGTTTTTGTTGCATTGTGAGAAATTTTTTAATGCTACATATCCAACATTTTAGGGGTGTTGGTTTCAAACAGTTGGCAATACATTAGGACTAGTTTGGTAAGGAAACTTCAGACTGCACTAAATTTGATAGGCAACAAAATTTATGACAGCCGGGATCTGTTGCATGATAAAATTAACTGCTAAGAAGGGGAGGAAAGGAAATAGCTGAGGTGAAGAATGATCAGGTTTAAATTTGTTTGAGAGAGAAATGAATCTGAATCTTAATTTTCAGATTCCAGTAAGCAACCAACTTGTCATTACACTTCACTGAACATGTCTAGAATTTTATCTTTATTTTGGGCCATTTGTTGCTATTTGTTCTCAATTATAGATGAAAGTTGGCTTTGTGAAGAGCTAAAGTATTAAGACACGTTGCTATTGAGTCTATGCTCTCCCGTGAATGCATTTATCTTATTCTGTCAAGCATCATCTCTGGTCCTTCTTTTTCTTGTAACTTTGTTCGGTACACTATGCTTGTGGTTTATTATTTTTCCTGAATGATATGTTCTTATATATATGTAGCAAGTCATTTGCAGGTATTTCATGTATGATGATCGGAAACATGTTTGCATAGAAGGAAACCACATAGTCAACATCTTTTCCTTCTCTAAAGCTTATGGGATGATGGGATGGAGAGTTGGATATGTAAGTGAAGCTTGTTCTAACTTTAGACATAAAATTTTTGTCAGGCCAAAAAGTGATTATTATTCTGCTGACCGACTCTTGATAGTGTTAGAAAGATGATTTTTCTCTCCATTCTGCAATTGCATCTCCTTGCCTTGTGAATTCCCTCTTGTCTTTACTCACGCATCTATTTTAAAAATCAGTAATATGACACCTCTGATTAATCTCAACTTGCCAGTCATTAACTTTTCTAAAGAATACTGTTGCATGCTGTCATTGTGCCGGGCCGAGGAATCTGCTCGGATTGTATGGTATAAAATTGGTCGCAATCACTACCAAATTTAAGTTTCCTTTCGCAACAAAAACAAGTTGTTCCAACAGATGTGACTTGTTGAAATGAGACATCATTGCTTTACAACATGTTTTGGCTGCAACACATACATTTTGCAGTGATTCCTCTGCAAACTTTTGTACTGAATATTTACTCCAGATTCTAAACTCACAAAATACTAAAACCTGTTTGTGTGTCTTAATGGATGCAGATAGCATACCCATCGGAAGTGGAGGGGCTCGCAGCTCAACTCCTTAAAGTTCAGGACAACATACCTATTTGTGCTTCTATAATCTCTCAACGACTCGCTCTTTACTCTATGGAGATGGGACCAGAGTGGGTAACTGATCAAGTGAAAGACCTCGTCAAGAACAGAGAGCTACTCCTAGAAGCTTTATCTCCTTTGGGAGAGGGAGCTGTTAAAGGGGGAGAAGGTGCCATTTACCTGTGGGCAAAGCTGCCAGATAAATACGAGAACGACTTCGAAGTAGTTCATTGGCTAGCTAAGAGGCATGGAATAGTCCTGATCCCCGGAAGTTCCAGCGGTTGTCCAGGTCACGTTAGGATCTCCTTTGGAGGATTGATCGAAAAGGACTGTCGGGTAGCTGCTGAAAGGCTCAGGAAAGGTTTGGAAGAACTCGTAAATAGTGGAATGATTTCATGATTCTCTTGAGTGAAAATTAGTATCAGCTTGTTCTCCTGGACACCAGCCATCAACAATACAAGAAAGACACATTTTATCCTTAATAATTGAAGGGATTTTCAGCTTTGCAACTTGATCATTGGAAATGCAAGCTAAAACTTGCCATTTTGTATAGTTTCAAATGAGTTACTCACATGTACCTGATTTTCTTAAATGGATAATGGAAGTGTCTCATATATCTCCGAGCCTGTCTCTTGGAACCATTTATACATATATGTCAATTACCAGGTTATCAGAAATTGCGGAGGGTTGATGGTGCACGGTTCGAAACTTGGTAGATAATAGGTCCTCCTTCTATATAACGATGGACTTCTAATGGACATGTAATTTCATTTAATAGACGTGCTATGGTATACAATTGAAACATGCCACTAGTCCTAGTGGTTGAGGTTTTGGTTTGAAGTTATGTTATGTTGGGATTAGTTATTCTGATATTAGTTTTTATTGATCGTTTGATATGTTATATTAATCGTAGGATTGTCAATTTTATTGTTGTATCCTGGAATAACCTATTTCTGATTACTATTCTACTCTCTGGAAGATATACGTTATCCCAATACTATTGTGATTTGCGATAACTTATCTCAGGATTAGTAATCAAACAATGGATAAGACTGTACTGAATTTTATTCCAGGATTATTTTTGTTTATCCTCGTACCAAACAATCCCTCAGTGTGAGTCCATCATCTTTAATTTTCATGGGTAAGATTATGTTGGCAGTCGAGAAATGTACAAGTTGACTAATTAATTACGATATAAAAGATGTATAATAGAAATATTAGTAGCTCATTGTATAATTTTGAGTTCGGAACCAAAGTGTGGTTCTTTTGGACTCAAGCGAACATAATAGGTAAAAAAAAAAAAAGACTAGGCATCATAAATATATAGCGCGGTGAATAACCGCGCTTTATTTGAACTTAAAATGGGCGAAAAGGTATAGCGCCAATATATACCGCGATATACTACAGCGCGGTATATATGGGCGCTATACCTATATAAATAAACTTACCCTTCAAACGGACCAGCAGCCCTTTTTATTAAAAAAACCAGCGGTTCCCCCCATTTTTAACGGACAAAAAGCTCGGTTGGAGCTCACCGGTCCCATAAAAAGTGTAGATTCTCGGTATTTTAGCAAGCTAACATCGTATATAAGGCCTTATCGCGTAGTGCGTTGCACGTTTCGGCTCCAAATCATCAAACTTCAACTTTCCAAAAAATTAAAATCGAAATATTCCGACTTATTTTTTGTTAAAACTTATGTATAAAAATACCTATTACTTAGTTGTTTTTTACTGTATTCTATGTTATTTCGTGATTGTTTTGGGATTTAATTAACTTGTTATTTTTTATCCGATTATATTATTAGTGTGCTAAAAAATTTAGTAAATAGAGAAATTGTTATTTTTATGAATAATTAATGTTATTAGTTGTTATAAAAAATATTAATTAGTTATTTTTTACTGTGGTATATGCATTTTCATGATTGTTTTGTGATTAAATCAATTTGTTGTTTTTTATCTGAATTAGTTTATTTATGAGCTAAAAGATTAGTGAAATAGATAAACTCTTATTTTAGGAATAATTAATCTTATTTAGATGTTATTGTTGTACATATATTAATATGTGACTTTAATATTGTTTAGTTCCCTGTAGTGTTATGTTGTGGCCGTAATTTTAATGTAGTGCCCGTCTCTGCGCATCTGCTAGATCCCGATCAAAATATGTCATCTTCGGGCAATTGAGTAAGGACATGACTTTCAAGTTGTTCATTTTCACTGCACAACCAATAAAATAATGAGTTTCTCAAATTCATCCAAACTTTATATATAGCTTTATCACTTCACTTACAAATCATAACGTGTTGATATCCCATGATGCACATTATCCTGTTGATGATGACTCTCGGATGGACCACCATGATCCAACACACCAAAACTAGGCATATTCCAACTGGTCGTTGGTTCATAACTTGTAAAATTCATATCTGGCCGGTACCCCCTGGGGAATATATGAGTGTTAATACAAATTCAATACATAAAAATAAACATCATAACACAGAGAAAAATTGAAGTTTACCACTCGGCTTGTGGATTATGTAAAGTTGGGGAGAAATTATTTTCTCTCTTCTCATTCGCGCGTGGAAATAAGTTTAGATCAAGCCAAACTCTTTCACCAGGAACCTGTTCGGCTAAAACTGCTCCAAAATAACCACCCGATGATTGAGGGATATCCCTACTTTGCGGAACCTCATTATTGCGGACGTCTTCAGCCTTGACGTACATTTCCAATATTTTTATCACAAGAAGTTTTCGGTGTTCATCCGAAGTCTTCAAAAAATCTGTCACACTTTCATGGTCTTCAAGGTTAAACTCATCATAACAAGCAACCCCTTGCGATATAAGTAGCTAGGTCACAATGCAAAAGAATAATGGTTGAGAAAATCTTTCATCTCTATTATCATTTTTTGTCGCGCAATCTTATATGTATTCTCATTAATCTTACAAATATTCAAGTACAAAATTATGTCAGCACGTGCTATACTTACGGTAAATATTATTGATGTTGTTACTCATATTTTGAGCAAAATCGATTTACAGTGCATAATATATTTCCTAAGAGTATGAGAAAATACCAAATTAATCTTTATTTAAACTAAGCAAGTACGAATTGGACAATTCATTTTAATTTTTGAGACTCTATTGGTGGAATCACTCGGAAAGTACATCTTAATAATCAGTTATAACTTGAAAGTTGTGGTTAATCAAATATCATGAGGAACAATATTAAATTAAAATTTATGAGTAGATAAGGACCAAATGTGTATAATTTTCACAAAGAGAGGGGGGTAAGTCGGTAATAAAATAGCAAGCTAGGATGGCCTTTGCAATTTACATTTTAGACCGGGTTACCTTATAATAACCAAACATATTAAACTAAACAACTCCTCGTCTCCTCCTATAAAACCGTTTTGGTCAAACGAGTCAAACCTCTTTCTGTTATGTCAGAGGCCATTACTGTAAACCAAAAATAAAGAAATATATTTGGATTTCTAATTTCACTTTCTTTTTTATTTTGTATTTTCACATCCCTTCTATTTTCTTGAGTTTGAACTTTAAACTCAAGAGCCCGCCTCTTACAGTTCAATCTCCATTTTTTTTGTTGAAGCTGAGATTGCAGAACAAGGTTCCTAATCTACATTTGTTCAATTACATTGTTAATATGGTCTCTGTAGTTTCTTGAAATAATGAAATCTTAAGTCGCCGTTTTTACTTTGTTTTTTTTTCTTTCTATTTGATTGAAGTGGGTTGTCTAATAAATTTGAATTCTTGGAGTTTTCAAGATGTGGTTGTGTAAATAAAGAAGAAGACTGTAGGCAAATTTCCTTTTTGGGTTTTGATTATCTAGATGTTTGGTAAAGAAAGTATTTTTAACTTTACTTTTAGGAGAATGTAGTTCGATTTTGAATTGAAAAGATTTCCATTAGTGGAGAGGTAAGTTCTTTATATTTGGACTTCTCTTGATGGTTAATAGTTTAATGTTCTTTTAACTATTGGATTATTATTTTTATGAATTTGAATGTGGAATCTTGGGTATTTCTTGTGCGCATGTCAATTTGATTGGTATTATATTCTGAATTTGAATTCTTGAATCTTGGACCGTTTCTTATGAGCAAGGTCCAAAATCTGCTTAAGGAAATGTTATGTCCAATATAGTTTGAAAAAAATAGGAATTAGGGAGTACAGTTTCTTTTGCTGCAAGAAAACAAAAATTTATGGTAATCTATGCTAATTATAGTTTCACTTGCTTTTATAGATGTGAATTAAAATTCTGTTGCCACTCTTAGTATCAACTTTTCTTGAGCTGCATGATTCTTGATATCACATGTTACTAATTCTCATAAGTTGCAGGTAAATGAGCGATTAGTTCAACTTAAGAGCAAATTGACTAGCCTATTTCCATGCCTCCACTTACTATGAAGAGAGAAAATTCAGTAATTTCTGCTGAAAACGAGCCCATGGTTCGAATTACAAGATCTCGAGCTGCTGCCCCTAAAAAATCCACGCTTGCACGTTGCGCAGAACTGCCAAAGCCACGGGGTCAGAAATGTTCTCTGCAGATAAATTCTAACACAGCAGTCCTCAGGGAGAGGAAGAAGAATGCTCTACTTGTGGAGAAAAAATTCCGGACAGTGCTAAAGGATGTCACAAATCTATGTTGCAAGAGTTCAAATGGAGACTGCCTGAATGCTGCCAAAGTCCCAGTTAGTAGTTCTTCTGTTTTACTTTTATTATCAACATTGCCATTGACACAATCCCGTGTCTTATTACCTTGTTGTTGCTACTGTTTGTTTATTGCTTCATTTTTACTTCTCTTGAATGGAGGAGGGTCTTTTGGAAACAACCTCTCTACTGTCATAAGGTAGGGGTAAGGTTTGCGTACACTTTACCCTCCCCAGACCCCACTTGTGGGATTTCACTGGGTTTGTTGTTGTTGTTGTTGTTGTTGTTGCCATTGACACAACGTGAAACAAGTTTCATAGTTTGACTGTTGTGGAGTCCCTTAAATATCAGAATGAGTTTTGAATTGATCTAAAATATTGCATATAGAGAATACTAAGGTGCATTAGCTAATTCAAGGATTTATGTCTTTATGTGCTTCTATTTCATCCCAATAAAGCTTTGGTGATATTGTGTATGCTTTCCTGCTGGTTCATGTTATTCCTCTTATTATCTGATTTAGTTTATTATATAATTTTCAGAAGAAGATCATGCGAGTTGGAAACAGTTCTCTGAATGTGTCTAAAGTGACCACTTCAGTCGACGCTGAGGTCCATCAATTTCCAGCCAAGTTACCACCAAGTAGGCTGCGAGCATGTCTTTCTAATATGAGAAGTACTATTTGAGCCAGTTTTATGAATATCACCTGATTTGACTAACTGCAGGGAGTAGCATTATTCGAAGTTGCTCAGACAGAAAGTTCCATAAACAACAGCAAGGAAATCCAACAGAAATCAATAGTTTTTCAAGACAAGGTTAGTCTTCTTTTAATTTGTTTCACTCAAACAGTACAACTTTTGATAACTTGTGGTTGTACTGACTATACAGGATCATAAAGAAAGAGAGATGAAGATAACAAATGATTTCTCTGTAGTAACATTTATAAATCATAGAGGAAGCCTTGCTATTATCTTTGTACTTTATTCCTGAGTACTAAGTTAATATGTTTCTATGCTAAATCTAATAACAGGAGTTCTCCATCGTGCTTTCTTTCTTTGACATTTTTCTTTGGAGAAAGGATTTATATCTACTAGTTTTCTTGTGTTTCCATGTAATTGCGCAACCATGTTGGTCTGTTAATTGTTCTCCTTTTGCTTACTAAATAATTGAACTTTTTAATGGGAACAGTTGAGAAAGCTGTTTGTGATGCAGCACCATCGACATCAACAAAGTTGGACTTCATAAACATTGATTCTGATCAAAAGGATCAACAACAATGCAGCCAATATGCTCTTGAGATATATAACAATTTCCGGGTTGCAGAGGTTCGTTGAATTGATATTCTTGCACAGTTCTTGTGGATTTCTTAGTTGTTTACGTTGTTGTGAGATTGCATTTTATCAGACAAGATAGGTCCTTTTTTCCGGCTAGGAGCTTTGGAATGAAAAAGTAACTGACACTTTGGCAAAGGTCATCTTTGCTCAACTGACTCAAGGATGCTTTTTCACAGTTTTGCTTTAAAATTTGAGTTAGACAAATCGCCATCAATGCTCAAGTTGATTATAATATCAATGGTAGCTATAACCACTTTAGTACGTTCGATGTATGTTCACTTATGAAAGAATGCTGGATTCTTTAGCTCTAGAATAGTGATGCCGGGTATGTTGCCTACTTGTTGGAATGTTTCTCAGCATATTAATAATTATATGAAATAATTTTCTGAATCCAAACCTCAACTTGTATAACTTCTGAGATTTCCTTGTTTTGGGATAATGGTGTCAAATATTTCCTTAGTCTTTTCAGTTGACAGTAGAGAACTGTAACTTGATCCTAATACAAAGTCTGATTTGTATTTCTCCAGCTAATTAAAAGGCCACAATCAAATTTCATGGAAACCCTCCAGCGAGATATCACACAAAGTATGCGAGGAATCCTTGTCGACTGGCTTGTGGAAGTAAGTTGGTGTTTATCTCAGAAAAGGAAATTGAATAGTCAAAGCATAATGTTTATGTCTTCCAATGCTGACATTTTCTAATTATTAGTACATGATTCATCTTGAGCAGATAAATGTGAAGCAAACTAATTTCCTAACAGTATCAACTCGGACAAGCAATATCACATTTTCATTTTGTTTTTTCATCATCTAGTGCTGATCTCATCTGAGACTGGTTTGAGAATGACTTGTAAAGATCGTATGTGCTTTTTTCTTAAGATAAAAGCATTCATAAGATTTTTGTGAATTGTGATGCTAGTTAAGTCTGTGTAGTTTCAACTTTGTGTTGGACGCTTCCCACCTCTCTCCCCCTTCCTTTTGATCTCATAATGCTTGTAAGTCTATCCGCTAATTCTAGAAATGCTAATTCATAAGAAAGCTGGTTACTGAGGTCATTGTCTAATCTTGTGTCAGGTGTCTGAGGAATATAAGTTGGTGCCAGATATACTCTATCTTGCCGTTCACTTCATCGATCTATTTCTCTCTCAAAACTATGTGGAAAGGCCAAAACTGCAGCTCCTTGGTATCACTTGCATGCTAATTGCCTCGTAAGCTCGGTTCAACTGTTTGTACTACTATAGGTTCTTTGTAATATTACTTTCTGGTAAAACACTTTCTTGAAATACTTAAAAGAGAAAGAAACTCTAGTCGAAGAAATACGGGATCTGAGTACTCCACTCATTTTAGAATCTGACAAGCTCATTCTTCCAAAGATATGTGTGCTTATGAAGAAATTTTCCTATGTAAGCACACTTGCAGTGACCTTCACCTGATATCAAGCCTTTATTGCCATCACTTTGCTGTTATAGTTGAAAATCTTTTCCCTTTTATATCTGAATAAGGTAAATATATTGTATCTGGTGGCTGAACGTGGCTTTTCTTTTTATCTGAAGGAAATATGAAGAGATTCGTCCTCTACATGTTGAGGAGTGCTGTTTTATCAGTGACAATACTTACACAAAAAGTGAGGTAGAATACTGCTCTTTCAAGTTTTGACTATTCAGGATCATGATAGTCAAAACACAATGATTTGTTTGTGTAGATTTCAGAAGTTAATTTTCTCGAATGCTACTTGAAAATACTACATCTTCATGAAAACTCATGGTTGTACCAAAGAAGAATGTTGAGACCTTCCCGTTCCCCCTCCCTTCTCTATGATCTTACTAAGTCTGATAATTATTATAATACTACTTGAACAAACTGAAGTTTCTGACAATGTAAAGTGGATCAGGTCCTGGCAATGGAGAGTCTTGTGCTGAAGCTTCTTGGTTTCCAACTCTCAGTTCCAACTGCAAAGACCTTTCTTAGGTACTTTAGCGAGTTGCCCGCCCTCTTGATCCATAACAGCATAGTTTTACTTCTGTTTCTTTTCCTTTTGTCTTTGTGAAAACTAGAACTTCATTTTCTTATGTATGATGCTATTTGCAGGAGATTTTTAAGAGCAGCACAAGCTTCTTACAAGGTATTATATTAATGTGCATCACTAGATTTCCTGAATGATAACAAAACTTTCTCTTTTTACTGAAATATAACCGTGGTCCGAATTATACATGGTTTCAGAATCCCAGTTTGGAGCTAGAGTGCTTGGCTAATTATCTAGCTGAACTGACATTGGTCGACTATGACTTCTTGAAATTCCTCCCTTCGGCTATTGCTGCATCATCTGTATTCCTTGCAAGATGGACACTAGATCAGTCAATGCACCCATGGGTTTGCTCCCTGAATTCTTGCTGTTTTGTTTACTTTTATTTCACTAGCTTTTCCTGCTACTGATGTGTAGAACCTATGCCTGCATCACTGACAGAATCCGACATTGGAGCACTATACATATTACAAGGCTCGGGATCTGAAAACCACAGTTGTTGCATTACAAGGCTTACAATTGAATACAGAAAACTGCCCTCTAAATGCCATACGCGCTAAATACCGGCAAGATAAGGTACTTTTGTATGTTATTTATTCAAAGTTAGTATATTGAGTCCATCCAAGTGATTCCATCTTAATACTGAGAGTTCTATTCGTTTCGAGTTGTTACTATTATGTATGGTCCTAATAAGTCTCTTTTTTCCTCTGCTAACAGTTCAAGTCTGTCGCGTGTTTGTCTTCGCCAAAACTACTTGAGACACTGTTCCAAACATGAAATTTGAACATATGATACTAACCAAATGGAGCATTGCTGAAACTGAAAGGGAGATGAGCTTTTTTGTACCTTAGCCCATTTTTGCTGTAAAGATTTTGACACCCTAGAGATATACTTAAATTGCAAGTTTAGTGGTAGGAAAGTAGCAACTTTCTCAGTTGTATATTCAAGAATTCATGCAGTTATATTCTTGTACATGCTATTTTTAACAGAGTTAATTTTGCCATTTTTTGTAATTTGGGATGATCTATCATCTCCTTCAATGCAGCATCTAAAGGCATTTTGGGAATTACTACAAGTATTGGTAACTTTTTTTCTTTTTTTTTCCTTTCAGAAATAAGCTCTAAAATTTATGCGTAAACTTATATACAGTGGCAGATGTACAACTATGCGTACGGTTCAGTTGAACCCATAACTTTTGATGTGGAACGTAAATCTATATATAAAACATCACTGGAATTGCAATAAATAGTATATATGAGCCCATAACTTTAAAAATATAACAGTTTCAATGCTAAAAATCTCAAATTTTGAACCCATAAAATTTAAATTCTGGATTCGCCTCTGCTTATATAAACTACTCCTTTCCTACAATATATGACACTGTTATTCACAGGGTAAAATATTTTTGAAATGATTTTTCATTTTAAAATGTACTTTGCATGATTTATACTTCATAGTATATTTTACGAAATTTAAAATAAATTTTAAGAAGATGAGGAATCAAGTATTCCCTGACCCTCATACTATATATTTCTTTGTTCTTTTTTTACCGCTTTTCTTAACTTTAAGGGGTCGTTTGGTATATTGGTGGGATATTCTATGGTATTAGTTTCCATCTTTTGTGTGGGATAACTAATCTCATCATTTTAGAATAAAAATTATTCAATGATTAGTTAATACCCCGAATCAAACATGGAATAAAGTTAATCCCAATCTTTATGCAAATATTATTCTTATCTTATGTACCAAAAAAATATAGAGTATAAGATAAGGTGCTACCTATATGTAATAGTTACCTAATTAGGTGATGTATAATGTAATCACAAATAATTCATAAAATAACATAAATAGGACACTATAAGGGAGAGTCTTTTATATATATA